GCATCAAAGAGAACATCATGAACCACATCATGTCTATACTTGAAACCAGGGAGCTCTCTACAATGAACCGCGTGTTCCCCAAAGGTATCCAAACATGCCTTGCGACAAACTGAGCATATCTCGTCAATTGGGAATATGGGAATCATGAGGCGGTAACGAAGGATAGTTCGGTACTCCACATGAGACATATGTTGGCCAAGACCATCAATAGGGATAGTTAGCAGAAAATCCTGAGCATGAGGCGCCCGCAGACACTCAAAGACTGCTTTCTGTCTGACAGTCATATCGAAGTTGATTTCCATATCTTGGACGATTTTGCTAAAAAGGGATCACGCAATAGTAAATAATACAATAAATCAAAAGTTAATGAAATTATATACTATCCAAGAATACAAATTATTGAGATGAGCTACTTTATATTTATATATATATATATATATATATATATATATATATATATATATATATCTTATCTTATATTTAAAGTAATTCCTATGTAAACAAATATTATTTCAAAGTCAATGATATCGATATAACTATTTTTAATAACATATATTAATTATATTATAATATATTCAGTACAACGCGCAGATATTCGGCTAGTTTTTAATATGTTAGAATGACTCACTAATGTGTAACTAGACAACCAAGCAAGTTGTGTACCGTTCTTATACTTTTTTTTTTTTTTTTTACGTTTATAACCTCAACAATAATAAGATAGTTTTATACAAGTATTACACAATATACGTTCAATTTATATACATGCAATTTGTTTATGAATATTTTATTCAAGTATAAGATAAAAATAATTTTGGATATCATAAATACTTTAATGCATGAAGTCGAAGGAATGTTTGATAAAAAAATGATTGTCGTAATTTTTTTGAAGAACATCGTGGTAACGTTTTAATGAAAAACATCACAATCAAATCCATCAAATCCATTGTCGGAGTAAACTAAAACATATATATATATATATATATATATATATATATATATATATATATATATATATATATATATATATATATATATATATATATAAAGATAGTTTTATACAAGTATTACACAATATACGTTCAATTTATATACATGCAATTTGTTTATGAACATTTTATTCAAGTATAAGATAAAAATATCATAAATACTTTAATGCATGAAGTCAAAGGAATGTTTGATAAAAAAATGATCGTCGTAATTATTTTGAAGAATATCATGGTAACGTTTTAATGAAAAACATCACAATCAAATCCATTGTCTGAGTAAACTAAAACACACACACATATATATATATATATATATATATATATATATGGTAGTTTGGTTCGGTTCAATTTTTATATTAAAAAAACCAACCCGAAGAAAAAAAAATCTGTTTTTATAAATAGCAAAAAAGAAACAATTAGTTTTTTTTCTTGGTTTTGGTTATTTTGCACACCCTCACTTTTTAAAATGTTTTTGACATTTTAACTATAGTAGTTTCATAAATAAGATTTTTAGACCATGCTTATAAAAAAAACTTATTGCTTATTAGCTTATGGTTTATTAGCGGTTTCCCACAACTATAAGTTGTTTTTATCTAAACACTTGTTTAGCTTATAGCGGTGTGGAATCGCTAATAAGCTAAAATGAAACGTCCCCAAAATTATGATAATTTTTTTTTTTGAAAACCATTTTAATAATCGTAAGTCATACAAAACATTATTTTCAAAACATAGTCATAAAACCAGAGTATCCAAAAACATCACTAAACATAAATCCAAAGGATGATGTATACGATCACAGTTTCGTCTTGCCCCAATCATCTAATGTACCTGAAACCATGAAACCAAACTGTAAGCCAAAGCTTAGTAAGTTCCCCCAAAATATCCCTCATAACAAAACATATACAAACATGCATGTTAGGTTCACAATCATCAGGCTGGATTACCCCTAACACACAATCATCGGACTAGATTATCCTTTACACTGGGTCCACAATCATCAGACTGCATTACCCTCCTGTCCACAATTATCGGGCTGGATTACCCCCCACCCACAATCATCAGATTGGATTGCCCCAACCCACAATCATTGGATTTGATTGCGTTGAGTTTGTTGGCTTACAACAAATAGCAGTAAAGCCTCAATCCAACCATACTATGTCGACGTATGCAACATATAACATATAACCAACAAATATAGGTAATCATATAGATCTACCAATCTAACATATCACTATAACATAACATCATCCTATATACCATGATACATAACACAACCTAGTGGGGTGACATTGGTGCCTTTGACCCATGAGTATAGTGAGGAAAACTCACATGGACCACTTGAAAGAAGTTTAACAGCTACCTCAACAATGGAATAGCCAATCCAAGCTTCCTAAAGCCAAACCGAAATCAACCCTTAGTCAAATACTGAAATCTACCTAAGTTTGCCTAAAAGTCAAACCAGTCAAAAAGTCAATGATCAAAGTTAAGGTCAAAATTGCCAACAACATCCCTCCATGTTCTGGTCTTCCTTAGCCACATCGTGGGCACAAAATGCCAAAACAATCGATGATTCCCCAATCGTCACGCCGTAGGGACTGGTCTGAACAACTTAAATGAGCTTAATCCATTTTCTTCTATTTTTAAGAGCCCCAAAGTGCATATCTGATCATTTCCAAGGTCTTAATGGATAAAGTTTCTAACTTTATCCATTAGGGAGGTCCAAATCACCAAGATGTAGACTTTACGTCTCAAAGGGACCAAAAATGCATCTTTCTTAACTTAATCCATTAAGTCCAGGTCTCTAACCTTCATATATGGATCAACATGATGTTTATATGGATAAAGTTTCCAACTTTATCCATAATAATGTTTCAAGATTTCAAGATCTAAACTTTAATACACCAAAATGACATAAAGGATCAAGATAACCTATATGGTTATAAGAGAAGGCAAAAAATCACAACTTTTTTAGTTCATGAGGTCCATGAAGCATTCTAAACTGGTCAAAAGATGTTAGAGTCCACTCAACTCCAATATCACCTATAAAATGGACCAAAAGTGCCAAAACCCCCCAAATGACAAGATTTAAAGAACTAGATAGCAAGATTGGAACTTTATACTTACAATAGCCTAGAAATGTAGTGTCTTTGATGGATCCAAACTTGAAGCATCAATTCTTGCAACCAAATGAACCTTCTTGATCTTTAAACTTCATTAAATAACATAAAAAAACATCCAAAAGAGGACATATGAGAGATAAGAAGCTCAATTCTTGAAGGTGTAGACTAGGGTTTCTACAAAGGGCTTCTAAAGGAAATAGAGGTTGATAAATGGCCAAAAAGTCGGAACCTTATGCTTAAATACGTTGAAAACCCTAAAAATCATGGGCTTGGGCATCAATGGTCGTCGTGTCATGGCACACTTCACCGTGCCGTGGCAAATTCTCATCATGTCGTGGCAATGGTTTTCACCCAAATCCATCTCAAATTCAAACAACCATAACTTTTTTGTTTCAACTCCGTTTTCGGCGATCTTTATATCCACGAAAAGGTATTGACGAGCCCCACCATTCTATCTATATAATTTTTGCTTAACATATGTCGAACTAAAACCATAATCCATGCAAGAAGCCTAACATATGACTCTTCTCATTTTACCATTTGGCTCCAAAGCACAAACAAGGGCTTAGATTACATAACCAATATTATCAACATTCAATAAGATCTAAACCCTATTCCCTTGAAGCCCAAGACCTTTACCCGATCTATTTCTTGTCCATAACCCCAAAATAAGAAACTTCTCGAAACAGGATGTTACATAATAAGCCCATTTACCAAATACTTTTTAACTTATTGACTTCTTAACTTTTGCCACCATAATACAGACACTTTTTTGAAAACTTATTGCCACCACTAAGTGTGAAAATATGCCTTCCAAAATGGACAAGTTTTGTTTAGTTCAAGGGCTATATTGTATTTCCATAAATCCAAGTTTTAAATGGGCGTTTGTGGTCTAAAAAGGGAACTATGTCTAAAATAGTGTATCAAGTCGAAAAAAAAAACTTGTTCCTGAAATACAATTACTTGATTGTTGAAGGGACAAATTTGCCAAATTGGCAAAACCTTTACCTTTTTATCTTGAATTGAAGACAGTGATTTTTTTATATGAGAGAGTTTTTAGATAATTAATTAAGACTTCTTTCTTTTTCCCTTTCTCTGGATTGATATTTCTGGGGTTTCAACCCTTCATTAATATCTTTGGCTCTGTAAACACTGTAATATTTTAGTGGATTGGTTTTTGGCTTCTTTCATACATGGTTTTTTTTCCTCGATTTGGATTTCCACGTAAATACTGTGTTTATCTGATTTACTCTTTGCTTAGCATTTTTCATTGCATGCTGTTGATTGTTGTAGGATATATTATTTCTATTCCGCTTGAACTAATATTGTTCATGTGATTTAGATTTTTTAGATTGTTTGATGCATTAGATCTTTTTCGTTTTAGTGTATCTTTACCTTTTTTGTTTACTACAATAAATCAAATAATTTCTGTTGTCCAAAAACACTTTTAGAATTCAAAAAACAATCCAAACACCCTAAATACACATTATACTCCACATTTTCACATTCCAAATATTTCGAATAATTCAAAGATCAAACTTAGCATTTGCTTACTTTACAAACATAACATTTGCTTACATTCTTGTTCCTTTGAAGCGTGTATGATTAAAATGCAAAATAATTTTATAGAGTCCATTATTTACATATTCTCCAACACAAAAAGCAAATAGTTTTATAATTACAGAATGTTACACCCATCCAAATAATTCGATCACCAACTTTCTCTTTTTCACTCCTATTTATCACAATCTTAAAAAAATATTTTCTTAATAATTTCAATATTCAATACCTTAATAAAAAATTGAGAGCAATTAGCATCCCATTTTGACATAGAAAGCCAACAAAGATTCGGACCATCAGCAGCCCGCAATTGACCCAGGGCTAATTATTCTTTTTATTTATTTATTTTTTACAAATCGCCGACTTTATAAAATTCATTTCCAATATACCCTTTACTCTCTCATTCTTCTCTTTTGGTTCTTCTCCACCCTTTCACCAAACCTAACGTTTCGATCTCTCCATCGGCCAAAAACCACCCATGGCTTTGGCTCGCCGGAGTTCCAATCTCCTCAAGCCTCTCTCCACCGCCTCCTCATCCTCTTTCCTCCACCGCCGCTCTTTCTCCACCGATGACTCCACCACCATCACCATCGAAACCAGTGTCCCCTTCACCGGCCACAACTGCGAACCTCCGTCCAGATCCATCGATACTACTCCTAAGGAACTCATGACTTTCTTCACCGATATGGCACTTATGCGCCGTATGGAGATCGCCGCCGACTCTCTCTACAAATCCAAGTTGATCCGAGGGTTTTGCCATCTGTACGATGGACAAGAAGCTGTGAGTATAGGGATGGAGGCTGCGATTACGAAGAAGGATTGTATAATCACCGCTTATCGTGACCATTGTATCTTCCTAGGGCGTGGTGGGACGCTACTCGAGAGTTTTGCTGAGCTTATGGGTCGTCAAGCGGGTTGTTCTAGGGGGAAAGGAGGTTCGATGCATTTTTATAAGAAGGATGCTTGTTTCTTCGGAGGACATGGGATTGTTGGAGCTCAAGTTCCGTTAGGATGTGGATTGGCGTTTGCTCAGAAGTACAGGAAGGAAGATCATGTCACTTTTACCATGTATGGTGATGGTGCTGCTAACCAAGGACAGCTTTTTGAAGCTCTTAACATGGCTGCTCTTTGGGACCTACCTGCCATTTTGGTGTGCGAGAATAATCACTGTAAGTACTTTCTTTTCTCCTTAAAATTCATGATTGATTCTGTTTCTGCTTCTTTATTGGGAACTTTCAATAGACTTGGTGACTTTATTTCTCTTATTCAATCCACTCATAAACATCATCTAGATACATAAGAACTGATCCTTATTGTGTGACTAGTTATGTATAGTTGAGGAATTCATACATGTAAATGTGTACTTACTGTAAGATCTATAAATTGAATGAGTTTGTTGGCCTGGACAAGTGTTCAATTATTGGTCATTGAGCACTAATTGCCATTTGAGAGTTCTAGTAAACTGGATTTGTGTTTGTGTGGCAGATTTTTTCATTTCTATACTCATAAATCTTGGTAATACCACTATATATAGCTGTAGTAAACCAACATTATACAGATTACAAAGTTCTACATTGTATGCAATTGAGATTTCATGGATTGGTGTGCAGATGGTATGGGTACAGCTGAATGGAGAGCTGCAAAGAGTCCTGCTTATTACAAACGTGGGGATTATGTTCCTGGATTGAAGGTCAGTTTAGTCTTTTTGTTGTTACAACCTACAAACATTACAATAACTTATACTTGCATCATCATCTTTAGTTCTTTACAATGAAACCCACAATCTTCTATATCTTTCTTTATGCAGGTAGATGGAATGGATGCCTTTGCAGTGAAACAAGCTTGCAAATTTGCAAAAGAACACGCATTAAAGAATGGACCCATTGTGAGTAGTCAAAATTAAATTTTTAATTTTCATTTCAGATTGTATTATTAATGTTATCAAGAACTAAAAACTTTTATAAATTATAATCTTGATTTTTTTTTTTGTTTCAGATTCTTGAAATGGACACTTACAGGTACCATGGTCACTCTATGTCTGACCCTGGTAGCACCTATAGAACCCGTGATGAAATTAGTGGTGTCAGACAGGTTTGTTAATTTATTTTTTATTATTTAATTTCTTTAAAAAAAAAATTTGTTACTGATTTTATAATTGGTTACAATTTTAGGAACGTGATCCTATTGAAAGAATAAGGAAGTTGATCCTGGCTCATGATATAGCTAATGAAAAAGAACTCAAGGTGATATAGTTTATTTATATACTTGGATTCATAAATCAAATCTTTATATTTATTTGTGGGCCCCATTTCAATTTTTTTTTCTTTTCTATATTTTTTTTTCCAGGATATAGAGAAGCTAGCTAGAAAAGAAGTTGATGAAGCCATTGCCAAGGCAAAGGTATCAAATCTTTTTCATTTTGGCTATTAAAAATAAAAAAAATAATAAACATTTCTTGAAGTATATAAATAACTTTACTTATTTTACATTTATCTTTTTAAATTACAGGAAAGCCCAATGCCAGATGAGCCTGAACTTTTCACCAATGTTTATCGTAAAGGATATGGGGTTGAGGTATTTTATTTATTTATTTAAAAAAATGGAGATTTTTGTTGATTAATTTGTTTTTTTTTTTTTTTTTTTAAAATTAAAGTTTTTGATTATGTGTTGCAGTCTTTTGGAGCAGACAGGAAAGAGTTAAGAGCTACACTCCCTTGATTTTCATAATGAAATCATTTTATAATCAAAAGAATATTTTGGTTTGATCCAACTCATCTCTTCAAATACCAAAACAAAAATAAGAACACAGAGAGATGGAGTGAATAACAAATTTATTGCTGTTTTTTTATTTTATTTCGCGTGTTGTGTTGATGGCAAAAAAAAAAAACAGAAAAAGTTTTGATATGATTCTTTTGGGCCTGTTTCATATACTTTCGACATGAAGAAACTCATAGTTTTTGTGAAGGCTGTTGAACTTGAAGCTATATCTGTTATGATATATTGTTGCAGGTTGTCTGCAAATTTATTTGGCAATTTTGTTTTTAGCAATTTGGGGTTTGTTTGTTGTTTGTGTGAATTACTAAGTATTTAATATGCTATTATGGGTTTTTATTAGAATGCTGTGATTGAACAAGTGAAATAATGCCAACAATCTATCGGAAGTAAAGTTTTACCTAAGATGAAATATAATGTGAAGAATATACAAGTTTATGTCTAATGTCTTCTTTTACCTTGAGTTTTCATATTTTTAAAAAAGTTTATAATTGTATCGGTGTTGATAGTGTTTAATACGTATGACACTAAATAATCATCAATCTTATTGTTAAAGACAACTCGACAAATGGTCTGTTAGCTGAAAATTGTCATTTTGTCCAAAAATGTTTGGATTAAGTCCAAATTTTTCATTTTGTTGTGAGTTTGGTTTAGTTTTCTATAAACTTTTTTATAGTAACTATTTTACCCTTGATACTTTCTTTTTTTTTTATTGGTTTTTACTTATTTAAATGTTTTTTTTGAGTAAAAGAAAAATAAAAAAGAATCTCTCTCTCTCTCTCTCAACAATCCAAACACCCCACCATCGATCAAAGCTGCTACTTCATCCCTCTGCTGTTCCCATCTCTGTTCACCTCCTTTTCGTCTACGAGCATTAGAACGACATACGACAGGTAGTTGGGAACGCTGCCTGCCACCACCATCTTAACCAACATCCTCCTTCAAATACCATAACCCCTCCATCATTGATGTTACCTCTCACTATCTCCACTTGTTCACAATCGAAGAAGAGGAAGAAAGAGGCAAAGCTGTAACTGATCGATGTTATTGTCGTGAGTTCAATCACCATCGGCTGCCATCGCTGCCTCCCACTATTGTTGGGGAAGTTCCAATGGCCACCACTACTACCTTGTTGTTTCCAATCACTAACAACCCCTTACTCCTCTTTCCTCTCCCTTTTGTTCGCTATTGGAAGAAGAGAAACGGGGCAGCTAAAGCCACCGCTATAATTATCAAACACCCATTGCCTTATCGCCGCCATTAACTCCGATTTAGGGTAAGATCAGTATGTTTATGCTACAATTTGTTGATTTAGGGGTTCTTCGAATACAACCATTTGAGTTTTTGTGTTGTTTTCTTCTTCTTCTTCTTCTGGTTTTTACAGAAACAGTCATCGAGGACAGTTTTGATATTGGCGTATCAAAGTTTGTGTGTCGTTAGGGGGTGATTTTCTAATTGAAGCTGATTTAAGCTTTTTAATCTCTCTTCCTCTCCTTCTACCTCTCGTTTTCTTCTTCTGGTTTTTACAGAAACATCATTGCTAATTTGGGGATCTTTCTAGGTCTTGATCTAGATTACTCTATGCTTTTCTAATTGAAGTATGTATTGGGTGGATTATGTGTATTGTTTAAGTTGCAGATGAAATGAAAAGAGACAAGGAAGAAGAGAATGGGGGTGTTTGGGGGTGATTTTCATCTCACATGTCCACAGAGAGGAGAGAGAGAGAGAGAGAGAGAGATTTTCTTTTTTATTTTTTCTGTTATAAAAATTATATAAATTAAATAGAAAAGGAAAATTTTGTTTTTTCTTTTTTCTTTTAATCTTAAAAAATCTTTAAATAAATAAAAATAAAAAAGAAAAAAGTAAGAGCAAAATCGTCATTATGAAAAAGTTAATAGTAAATTGGACCAAACTCATAAAAAAAATGAAAAGTTGGATCTCTACTGCTAGTTCAAACATTTTTGAACCAAAGTGACAATTTTTGACAAACCACAGGGACCATTTGTACAGTTTTGTCTTGTGTAAATGGGTCTTTCTTTTCAACTTCATTGTTGAAATGAACAAAATCATTACAAATTTTGATAGAAACCTTAGTGGATATATTATTTCTGTTTGTTTTTAATTCTATTTAAGGTATTAAACCATGTCAATGTATTACAGTAACAATATTATTTTGAATATTTGCTCCAAGTGTTCTAAAGTTATATTTATGGGACTCATTATGAGGATAGCAGGAGTAGAAGCCTCTGTGCACCCTGGTTCCTCCAACCCAAAAAATAAAATAAAATTGAGACTAGTCTGTGCACCCTGATAAAATTTGGTTATTTTGGATACTTTATCCACTTTAAATGTTTGAAAATACTTATTTTGGTACAAAGAAGTCATCGAAACAATGAGAAACAAGTTTTTTAAAGCAGATTGATGAACTTTTGAAGCTACATACCCATGTTCGGATCAAATACATCAATTTTGTAGTGATTCAAGTAGTTAATATGTGAGTTAAATAAAATAACTTGTAAGTAGTTTTATTTTTTTATTTGCCCTTTTTCCTCTAAAAATTGAATTATTTGTTTGATCATAAATAGAAAGTGATATAGAGCATATTGAGTACAACTTTCAACCGGTTGGAGCTTCTGAAAAGTTTTTTTTTTTTTTTTCTTGAAAATAAAAGATGCCATGGACACCTTATGTCCATGTAAATTTGCCCTAACTATACATGCATATTGTCTCGTCCAAAAGCAATAAAGTAAAGTCAAACTCTGCCACTACATGAAAGTATACACCACAACTAATCACTAAGTACAAAAGGCTTAAACTAGCATTTAGATTATAAATTACCTTATTAATAACTTATCTTAAGTAGTTTACGAAAAAAAATAACTTGTAAGCTACTATAAGTTATTTTTGTAGCATCATCAAACACTAAATTGCAATAAACTTAAGAAATAAGTTAACTTATCCATACCAAACATAGTCTTAGCAAAGAGCACCTATACATTAAATTCACAAAAAACAGATAAATGATTAAATCCACAACAGGCTTACTCTTGCAAAATTTCTTACAAAACAACCTATAAACATTCATATTTGTTTTCTTACTGATTCACACCCTTCAATCACCATTCTCTTCCAAAATTTTCAACAATATCATAGAAAAACCAGGTTTAGAATCATACAATTTGATTTAATCTAGAATTAAGGTTGGAAAACACTTGATTCCACAACACCCGCCCCATCAAGTTTTTCTCAAAAATGGTAATAAACACATATAATCCATGTCTAGAGTAATTGGTCCCAAGAAAATGCATTTTTAATCGGTAAATAATTAAATACAATAAATAAAAAGATAAAATTGTTCACGAGTCCACCAATTATTAACCAGACCCTTAACCGATATAACTTGGACCTTTTAGGACCATTTTAAGACCCTTATTTGGCCCATTTTTTATCAGTATTGGGTTGAATCCGGATCCAAATCATATAAACATTCATATTGTCCACCTCTATTAGTCTAAATAGTATTCAAGGTGAATTTATTATTGGTGGGTCACGGATGAACAGGGTTTACGTTCTACGCTAAACTCACCTCAGAGGTCTTAATGTGGAAGGTAAATAATGGAGCCATGTTGGGTTTTGTCCCCTAAACCTTCGATAGAAATTTAGTGCCTCAACTGCTAATTGGTAGGCTTTCATTACGGGAGCTTGTGGCATGGCATTATGTATGTTAATGCAAGTAATATGGTTAAGGAAAGGTGTTGGGAAAGTTCGATTAGAACAAGAAGAAGCAACTATTATTTTTTGTGACAGTAGCTCCACAGCTAATTAAACCCTCCAAGAACATTGTAAAGTATGGTCAAACAAAGAATAAAATACTTTTAAGTTGGGAACTTTTGGAAGTTTGCTTAGTTACTATATAAACGAATGTTTTCAAACAATTCAACTTAAAGGGACAATTTCTTGAATTTGATGGTCCAATAGTTAAATAGTTTGTTTAATAAATCCATATCTTTAAGGAAGAGGGTGGTGTTTCTTTTTTTTTTTTTTTTTTTTTTTTTTTTTTTATTATGTAAAACAACTATCTTCCTTTAATAATATGTGAAACTATTTCCTAATTTTTTTTTATGTATGTTGTAACTAAGCATATTTTTCATATTACATACTACTTTTATCACTTGTGGAAACCAAAGTTACATAGTAAAAACTTAAAATTATTAATCAATTATTTTAAATAAATTATTAATTAAGAGATATTTTTTTAGTTTTATAAAATTATAATCTTTGATTTAAAAAAATATATGAAATTATATCACCTTATAAACTTAATTAATATTATGAGTAAATTACACGAATCATCCCTCGTGTAGGTGCAAAAATACACGTTCAGTCCCTATTTTCAAAACTTAACCTGCATCATCCATTGTTTGGTTAAAAGTTGCACATTTCATCCCCTGGAAATAAAAAAACAATTTTGTTCTTATTTATTTTCTATTTATTTGTTATTTATTTATTATCTATTGATTTGTATATCATAAAAAGTAATTAGTTTTTATCTTTAATAAAAGAAATATGTTGTAAACCCTAACTCCCTAAGCACTTCGTCTCTCTCCCACCATTTCTTCGAACTCCACCCAGACCAAAATCGGTGACCCCCTTATGCTTCTCCGACGATCCTATCACCACTATCACAGGTCTTAAAAAGTGCAATGATTTCAACTTTTAACTTCAAGAAAGTTTTCAACTTAAACTTCATGAACTTCAAAAACATTTTCAGATTTGCAAATCTTAACAAGTTCTTGAAGGATTCGAGAGAAGAATGAAAAATATGAGATGTGTTTTCCATATCTTTCTGGTGATGGATTCTCCCATTACAAAAGAAGATCGAGAGGATGTGACTTTGCTCCAATGCATCATCGCCGCTCAACGTAGGTTCTGATGCATCACTATTATCAAATTTGCAGATTCCAAACTCGTCTCACCACCTTCAATTCCTGGTGGTAGTGATGCTCGATCTGAAAGTCTCAAAGTGAAATCCATCATGCAACCACCAAAATGCTAAATCTAAAACCACACATCTGCTGCTAATCTATTTTCTTAATTACATCTCCCATCTTTCTCAAAACCCTAACGCACAGGTGGTGATGATGACCACGCGTTTGCTCTCTATCTCTTTCTATCTATCTATCTATCTATCTATCTATCTATCTATCTATCTATCTATCTCTCTCTATCTCTCTCTGTGTGTGTGTGTGTGTGTGTATCGTATCAGCAGAAACATACAAGGTGTGTGTTTTGTGTTTCTTTGCTCTGTTTGGGAAGAAAATTGAGGAAATAGATAATAAAGAATGCTCAAGGGTTTCAAGAGAAAATCAGGTAAGAGGGAATGAAACCGACAGTAGTGACGTTTTTCTGAGGATGTTCCACATCTCCGACAGAGGTGGTACTCGTCGGACATGAGCAAATGAAATGAAATATGGTAGTGGTCAGTGGCAGTAGTCAAGAGGGTTTCTAATGGTGCTCTATTTTTTCCGGTGGTGGTGTTTAAGTTTTCTCTAGCAAAGCAAAAGAGAAATATATATTAACTTTAATTAAAATAAAATAATAATTAAAAATAATTAGAAATATAAAAAAATGAAAAATAAATTTAAAAGGGCATTATAGCCATGTCTCGAAAGGGACAAAATGTGCAAATTTAAACTAACAAGGGATGAAACACACAACTTT